CGACAAAGTTCACTTTTCAGCACTCATACCTTCGCGATTACGCACAGCCTTCCCGCTCAGCTACTCGCACCTCTCTCTTCCCTCCCTTTCCCAAAGCCTTTTTTTCAACGTCGTCAAGATGGTCAACGTCAAGACTTACAGCGATGCTGTCAAGGGGGGCAAGTTCCCAACGTCGACAAAACATCTAAACCATGGAACAATCGCCACGAAGGATCAAGAAGATTGCTACGTGGGGATAATGGAGCGCTGCGCCGTGGCCGACAAGGTAAGTTTGATCTTTCCCACACATCAACACCCTTGATTGCCGATGAACTTGTTTGGCTGTTGCTCATCCGACCATCGTCTTGTGATACGAACAGTACCGTGGTAACCGCAGCTACTGCGGAGAGCGCGACTGCCTGCCCCACGAGCAGTATGGTCTTGAGGTGAGTCGCACTTTCTATATCCTTGTAATGACGTTGTTGCCCTTTGTCTTACGTCTTGTGACTGACTCCATTCTTTGTTGCAATATCAATGTCTTGTTCAGCCGGTCACCAAAAGCAAACCTGCCAAGATCATCAAAACGGCCAAACGGGCTCTTAAAGCCCCTTTGAAACTCTCGAAAAGCTTGCGCGCTTTGCGCTCGAAGACGGAGAAAGCGCCCGTTGAATGCGCTCCGTCGAAGACGCTTACTGAGTGTGCGCCCAACTCCAAGACGGCTCGAGCGTGCGTGTTGCCAGAGACGCCCGCAAGGTGCGCTTTCGAAGAGACGCGCTCCCCAAGTGGCTCCGACAATGAGGAAGACTTGCCCACTCCCGTCAAGCTAGCGGGTAGTCCGACCCTCAGGGAGGTCGACTGTGTCAAGGTGGCGGGCATCCAAAGCACCTTTGCCAATCTTCCACCTTTGCCACGAACCCCTGAGCTTCCTCCCGCTGCCGACCTCATGGTCGTTGGTCCTGTGGCTGGTCCCCTCATTGTCAACCCCGCCATCGGACCAAGGCTTGGCTTGCTGGCTGCAACGACCATTGGGCTAGGATTACGCATCAAGGGTGCGAGCGTGACTGGATCACAACTGTTAGCTCCTGCTTGTGTGCCAGCACCCTTGCGCACGCCGTTAGAAGATGCTGAGGCCAGCATGGATCGCTCCAAGGTACGTGGCAATTGAGACGGTCTGAATGTCTATTTCCGCTGATTAGCTTCTTTGCATATCACAGATCAAGGAAATGGAGATGGACCTAAAAATGCGCGTCGATGGCGCGTTCTCAATACCGTCTTGAGCTCCATTCTGGTGGCTCTCGGCGGTATTTGGTGTTTGAAGCGCCAAAACTAGCGTGGGCAGGAGGAAGTTGGAGGAAGTGGAACGGTGGACGGGCGATGGAAAGGTCGAAGGAAAGGGCGATGGAAAGGTCGCATGCAGGCTCGTCGCTGTTTGGTGGAGACGTAGACCGAGGCAAAATTCTCTTGCACAAAGTCCTCAGCGTCTTCACCGCCAGTGGTGACTGTTGACCAGGACGAAGATGGATAGGGCGATGGAAAGGTCGGTGGAAAGGTTGCATGCAGGCTCGTCACTGCTCGATGGAGACGTCAACCGAGGCAACACTTCTCTACTCAAAGTCCTCAGCGTCCCGTCGACAGTGGCGACTGTTGAGCATGGGGGAGGCAGATGGACCGAAGAGGCACGGAAGGGGCAAAGGGGAAAGGAGTCAAGTTCCGAAGCTAGGTCATTTGGAACGAGGGTGAAGAACCGTGCAGATGAAACGAGGAGCGCTAGGGTAAGTCGGCACATCACCTTTTGATGTGTACTCGCTGATTCACTTAAGTTGTCACTCGCAGGTACTGCGTCCCAACAAGCTCATCTTCAGCTACTCTGACAAGGGACTGTGGGGGGGAGGAACAAGCAGCTCTGCTACCTAG